TTCAGTTGATCAAATTTGGCACCATGTTAGATCCTGAGGCTACAGAGAAAAAGACACCTCTCCTACATTCAGAGCACAGTCTGCGGGAAGAAAAATCAAAATGCAGCTATGGAAACAGACATCCAAAGAAAGGGGAAGATCAAGAATAGGAAGAAGAGGGAACCACTGAGTCCAGGAGGGCTTGGGGGAGGTGCAAAGTAGGTGAGACTCAAGAAGCAGTGGGGCTACCTAGGTAAGTGGTCTCACTAAGGCTACACAAGCACCAGCCTTGTACTCCACAGAAACAACTCCACATTTTATCCTAAAGGCTGTAGTGAGCCATCAATGGGATAAGAGAGTGCGACATGATCAGACGTGTTTTAGGAAGCCTTTACAGGAAACCATGTGACTAACATGAGCAGGAGCAGAGGCAAACTCAAGGCAAGAGAGAGGGGCCAAGAGACTGTTCCAGCCACCAAGGAAAGGAATGCTCCCAAGCTGAGAACATGACAAAAAGATGAAGTTCCAAGTATAATGCTGCGCACTGCAAAACAAAAAGAGCCTCTGAAAAAGACCTGATGCCCTTCAAAGTTACAGAGATGGGACACAGAGTCCCTTGAAATACTAATAAAACCAAGATGTCAACTATGATATGTGAAGTTTGCAGTGTGAATGACAGCCCTCCAGTACCGAGACACTGCAGCAACTCAGAGGAAAAGAAGACTGTGGTAGCTAGAGTTTGAGTGGGTGCCTGGGATCAGGGATGTCACTTACAAATGGTATGAAGTTGTCTGAAACAAAAGGAATGACTCATGCAAAAGCACAGACTGGAATAAGCAGCCAGGCGTAAAACAAATGGAAGAATGGGGCGGATGGAGCGGTGAAAGATAAGGTGAAAAATAATTTAGGAGCAAACCTGTAGAGGGTCCTTAGAGTCAAAATTAGGGGTTTAGGAGATTAGAGTTGATCCTTCTCAAAGTGGAGGTCCAAGGGAAGTTTTTTAGTGGGTCATAATTAGGGTCTTGATGAAAGAGAGATTTTAGAAAGACTCGTCTGGTGATAATGTTTAAGATACAAAGGAAGGAGCTAGCGGGCCTGGGAGGAGATGAGGCCAATTAAGCAGCCACTGCAGTCCATTTGGGCAGGATAAGGGCCTGACCACAGCGGAATTGAAAAGAAAAAGGAATGGAGGAGAAGGATTTCACAAAAGAAGGATCTTCAGAAATTGTTTGCTGGCTTCTTAATCTTTGTCTCCAAAAAAGAAGTCCTAAGTGCGAATTCTTTTATTACGATGGGGCCTCTTCCCAAAGCTCCCCTTGAGACAATGCCATTTGACAACCACAATGCTTGTACTTGCCATGCACAAGTAATTACTGGTCTGGGATGTATTTGTATCTTTAAGTGACTGTGGCTAAAACATCGAGGATAAAAAGAAGAGATCAGCCTTTGAAGTCCTGCCCTACATGGAAAAATAAAGCAAAACCAGGTGTAAGAGAAACCACGACTTGGAAACAAGAAAGGACCGAGAGGTAATTTTCTGTACATTTTTCTCATGAAAGTATAAGTATTCCTCATAGAAATACCTTCCCCGAGGAGAGGCTATTCAGAGGATCTAATTAAATGGAGTACATCTAAGTGTTTCAAAATGAATGAGGTATTCCTACATGTGTTAAGTATTAGCAGGAAAGTTCCCTCTTGCCCCATCACTTTCTTTGACATATTTGATCTCTGCTTTTAAAGATAATGCTACTGGCCCACTAGTATTTGGGGACATGCTGGTGTCTCTCGGTGAGATGAGTTGGAGACCACATATGGCCCGTTAAATGAACACACAGATTCACTAAAGAGAAATATTAGCTTCCCAGGGTTTATAAGGAAACCACTACCCCATAATTAATCATCTGTGTTAATCCACCCAGTGATGAGTTGAAATAGTTTCCTTTCAACTGGTTTTGTGTACCTGACTGAACTCAAAGTCAGAAGTGTTCCTGGAAGTTTTTCATTAGTTACAAAGCTTGGGCTTCTTGGCGACTGTTTCAACATTGAGTGGACCTGCCTTACCTTTAAAATATTTTGTATAATTAAAAAAAAAAAAACTCTTTCTACATCAGTTGGTACATCAGTTGGTTTCCTACAAAACCTAATTGCCTCACGCACAGTGATTTTGCCACCAGTTTACAATTAGCATGCATTTCTCATGCATGAGTTGACCCAATTACATAACAAATTTTGCCTTTGGGGATTTCACTTGACTGCTAGTCTTCTGTCCACCATACAGCTCAATTTCACACTGTCAGCAGCCTGGACATGGTTACAGTCAGTCTCTGTCAAGATGATTTATTTAAATTACAAACAGAAACCAAATCCCTAGATAATCGTCTCTACCCTCGTGCTCACCCTTACACTCAACCTAACTTTGAATCAAATCTTTTAACAGCCCATAGACACCGCTACTCAATTATTAGACTATGCTTAGTCCCAATAATCTAATATTTTTGAAGCTAACTCGCAAAATTTCAGGGAACTAAATCAGCAGTATCCATGTGAGCTTATTAATGGCCATATAATTTATTTTCCATTCTAAGAACTCTGTGAAAAATTATCTCACTGTATCAAAGTAAAAATAATTACATTGCATGATCAAATTACAGCTCTTTTTTTTTCTAGAATGTTGAACAAGCCTTCGATCTTAGCTTTTCTTGTAAAGTAAGGAAGCACTTCGTATAAATTGGCATGCTGAACTGAAAGTGGTAGCCAAAGGGACGTTGTGAAATGGACAGATAGCCTGCTCTATGGTCTGACAAAGTACAGAAGGAGCCAAGAGAAGCTGAACACTCTATTATCCACAGCCCAGGAATCTAAGATGGGGGATTTTCAAGCCTCCCACACACATCCTCAGAAGAAACACGAGCCTTTGTGGACCAAGGAGTGCACAAATCAAATAATAACACACTTACTATTTCAGTCATTCAATGAAATACATGACCTTGTCATCTGTTTGGTTTTTCCTTTTCTTCTCCCTGAAATAAATTAGGAAATAAACATCTAGTTTTTACTTACAGCACAAAGTCTGTAAAAGTCTCTTGGGGTTTGACTTGACCATTTTACTTCACAATCTACCTCTATTTGGCCTCAGCTAATTGCAACTACAGCTTATAGCAATGTGTAAACAGGCAGAATGGAACACATCAATTATCTTCTGAAGGCTAGACGGGGTCCCCCAGATGGCTGGCCACACTGCAGTGCGGCAAACCGCTGCAGGAACCCTGAGTGCTCTACTCAGAAACTTGAACATGGTAACCTCCTGAAATTAGGACGCTTTTCAGAATAACCCACAGGAGTTAGAGTCACACTGATATGAAAAAACTGTTCTTTTTTGTTAATATGCCCAAGGGCACATCATTTTTCAATTCATATTTGTACAGTGTCATAAGAACATTTTCCTAACATATTATTTTTTTTAAATGCAGTGATAGATAAGGTCATGTCTGCCATTTCTCAATTTACATCTGAGAATTAGGAAACAGGACGGAGAAGGATGGCAATTAAGTGACTTGATTGAGAAAATGTGAAGGCCCACAGTGCTTAGCACTGTCCACAGAGGTTGTCAGGCTGCATGTGGCTGGAGATACACTTTTGAGCAAAAGCTCAATTTCTAAATTTCCTGAGTTCCTATTAAAAAGCCTCCCCAGCCCAACACTGTTTCATAAGCAACCAGTCACCTTCTAAATGAATATTAATCTATCCAATGAAATAAAGGCATTATTTGGAATTCCATTGAAAGAAAAATACCTCTCCATTTTAGAAGCTAAGCTCTGCTTCTGTCCAACCATTCAGTAAATTCTGGAACCCTGCCTCTTTTCTTTCTGGAGTTACACTGCAGGGGTAACATAGCAGAAGAATTTTAAATTGCAGTACTTAATAAATCTCCCATGTTCAACATGCTGTCATTATGAACACTAGAGGAGAGTTAGGCAGGGTAAACCCTCTGTCACCTCATTCACTACACACAATTTGAAATTTACAGTTCCATTTTATCCCACACCTCAGTAACATATGCAGACTGTGTGGGCATTTTCAAATTATTTCAAACGTAGACCAAAGAACATGAGAGCAGCTGAAAACATTTCCTAACACTGACACAGACACAAGCAATCAAAAATGTCCAGTCAGCCATAACATATTACCCCAAACACCTAGCACTTGTCATCAAATTCACTGTTTAATGTCTCTATACTTTCTTTGATCCAAAGGGGATTAAAGGCAGTTTAGAAAAAGCCATACAATATTCAAAGATAAACTAAAAACAAATAAGAAAATGAAACTATGGGGGAAAATAAAGATGCAGATCCCTCCTGACCAGGTTAATTTCTCCTACATTAACCAATATGAAACCTGTAGCTTCACTCAAGGTACACAGCAACAAATCCTTCATCATTCTGAGACCAAGTCAGCTCCCAATAGGAAGATTCTGGATCTTTCTAGTCTAAACACTTTCTTACCCCCTTCTTCTCAAACAGGCACATCCCAGGTCACTGTCAAAAATTTCTGTCTGGGTTTCAGCCAATATTGTTCAGTTGGCTTCCACTAGTCAAAGTACCACTTCTAAGATCAACCCACGTTTCTTATAGAAAAAGAACCTTGAACAATACAGAAACCCAGTAAGGTGACGGAAACAGCTCATGAAGCTGTAGTTCTATAAATGAATAATGAACTCACCAGCACTAACAATGCTGAACAGCCTCCCTTCTTTCCTAAAAGGATTACCTAATAGCATCATTATGAAATCTACATTTTTTTTTACTGCTATCTAAACATTAACATACCTCCTCATGGGCAAAATAACGGCTTGCAAGATTCCCATGATTGCTAATATTGAGGCACTGTAAAATTTTTATATTAAGATGTCATCTAAATCACATGCTTCAAAAAATCAGTATTGTCTAAATTACATAGGTTTCATCTAGATGGTACTTTATAAATACTACTATGTATATGATAAAGAGATTAATACATACCTGTTTTGTAAGATTTTTTTGCATAATTAAGAATGGATCAGCAAATGACCTCTGGTATTGAATAAAATGTATATTCCTGCTAATGATAAAGGTTAGTGAGATTCTTATCTAATTAAACTGAATGCTGACTTAATTTGAATATCAATTAAAAGTCTTACCTTAGAATAGACTGCAATCCTTATATAAGCTGCTACATGATGTCTTAAGTAGAAATGTGTAGCTCTTTTTGAAACCATTTTCTGTGATTTAAGATACAGCTTTGTTTTTTTTTTTTTTTTTGCAAAATTGCTTTGATTTTAAAGGAAAACATTCTCCAAAAACAATCCAAAGGAAAAAACATTACTGGAGGCAATTGTTGGTAGAATATAAATCTAATTTGCATTTTTAAAAGCAGAAAGAGGTTTGTGATTCAAGAGAAGAATAGTGAGAAAAGATCTTCAGTACCGATTGGCAGGTTGTTGGAAAAACCAAGAGACAAATATCATAAATCCTTATTATTCAACACTTTTTTAAATGGAAAAAATCTTTATGAATATAATATGTTTAATTAAAGATCAAGCAATGAGTAAACCTTAGGGAATATGGCAAAATAGTTTGGCTGTGGCCTCTTCCCACTTCCAAAACATTTTATGCAACAATTAACCATTTTTTTAATGGAGTAATTATTTATGATGTTTATTACAATTAAGGAAATTCTGAATGTACACCCAATGTTTCTCACATAACATTGCAAAGAAAATTCAGATTAGGAAAGAAATAACTATTTTTAACTTCAAAAAAGGGCCTTTTCTCAAATTATATCCTATAATTTATTTGCAAATTATATCTGTGCATGTATATTAGGGTACCTGAAAATATTCATGGAAAATGAAATTAAAAGATAAATTTTGCTACCAAAAAGATTTTGTGACCCATGAATAACTGCTTCATAATATACTTTCATTACATTTTTAAGGCTTTTTATATGCATGGATTTCAAAATTCATTGTACAATGTAAACAAATCTTTTTAAAATGTATCCATTTATTTACTTGTAAGACAAAGAATCAGACAGAAAAGACAGAGACAATCTCCCATGTGCCAGTTCATTCTCCCAAATGCCTCCATAGCCAGAACCTGGTCAGGCTGAAGCCAGCGACCCAAAGCACTATGCAGTTCCCTGAAGGGGACAGGGCGATCAAGTACCTGAGCTGCCTTCCAGAGTGTAACATTAGTCCGAAGTGGGAATGGACAGCCAGGCCAGGACTCAAACCCAGGCACTCCAACATGGGATGTGAGTGTCCCAATGGAGGCTCAAACACTGTGCCAAACTCCTACCCTGAAACTTAGCTTTTAATTCCATTTTCCACAAATTTTTGAAGTATCCTTAGAGAGCCGTATGTACACACATATATATATCATGATGATGGCCAATTTTTTTTGGTAATTCAGTATTTCCTGGAGATTAAGGCGACTTCACTTAGAACATCTAGATAAACACATTTTTGCAACTGTACAGCTGACATACAAAATACAGTTCTGACAGAAAGTGTGAACTTTGTACGTTTGCTTACACATTTATATCACATATACAGCTGTCCATCTTCATATTTTCTATTGTATATCTAACAGTGGGCTAATGTTTATGGAAAATCCTTATGAGATACTTCATATAACATGGTGTAAGAAAAAAAAAATGCCATGCATGAATCTAAAGTTAAGAGGAGTTGTTTATACACTTACCCTTTATTGAGCACTGAATTACCCTTGTTCCTTAGGGGCTTTGTATTTCTACTAGCTCCAATTTTCTTTTTCAAAGAAAATGTATCACCAAACAAGCTTTCAGACCCAAAGTAATTGCATATACACATGTTCATTTTAAAACACAACTGTAATATAGGAGTTCAACCAATATTCAAGCAATTTAAATTAAGGCATTATATACACATATAATTAGCAAGCATTCATGTAATAGTTTTCAAGACGACTAAATATATATATATAGCAAAAGATTACCTCTTAAATCCCAAGTTCTGTTTTGGAAGAACTCAAGAGCTGAGAATCACTTAATGGAACAAGAGAATAATCTACCATAACTAAACAAAAGGCTCCAGATAACTGTGATGAACTGAGAGGGTCAACGTTCCCTGGATGAAGACGGTATATTTTGTGAGTACACTGAACAACTCTTGCACACCACAGCAACAACTGCATTCCAACTCTTCCAATCTGAGTCATCCAGAAACACACCTCAGGCGATCACATGTCATTGAAGAAAACGGGCACCTACGTTACTGATTTGTTCCTGAGTCCTCTTCAGTCTCTGTAATTCGGGAGTGTCCGTAACAATGCTGAAGCCCCTCCCTTTGCTTTCTTCAAAATCTCTTTTATACTTGACCTAACAAAAAAAAAAAAAAAAAAAAGCAAAAGAAAAGGTAAGCAGAGGAATCACAAGCCCCATAGCTACAGAATAGGCAGCAATGCCCACAAATTCAGCTCTCAGCAGAAAGCCCAGTAAGATCAGGGAGTGCTGAGCTGGACTGGCTCATCTGCAGGCAGAGTTTTTGCGCAACCTTAGGAAAATTACTTAGCCACACTATACCTCAGTGTTCCCATCTGTAAAATGGTTATGATAACAACAGTTACTTAATAGATCCACGTAATGCATGTACTGGCAATCAGTATTAACACCATGAATATCACTACCACAAAAGAAGTAAATGATGGCACAGATGAAGCTACATCTGCTCTCCTGCTGTCTCACCAGTGCAAACATATCATTTTGAGCCTACAGTTCCCTTCAGAGGAGGCAAACAAACTCAGCAGGCAAGAGCTTGTCCTTAAGAAGCTTCTGTTCTGACCCATAAGGAAAGCATCTGCATGGGAATTCACAGGGCTGTAGTTCCCACGGTCAGGTTCACAGATGTTTATGAAAATGTTCATTTAAACTGGCAACTTCTGTGGATGAAAAATGTTATATAGGTTCTGGTATTCTATGTGCTGAGGTGCCTTTTTCAGTATTTAAAATACACTTTTCTTCAACTACATTGCAATAGAGTTGAATTTCCCTGTTTCCTAGGGGACTGAAGCACCTAAATTTCCTAAGAGTCCTAAGTCTCCTAGGACTAGCCTAAGGCCAGTACCGCCTCACAGCAGTGAAATAGCTCCCATCTTAATGACTGAAATGGTTGCTACATGTTGCTTGTTTTCTATGGCTGGATATCAAGACACACAGAAATATATTTTGATCACCCACATAATCTTCATTTTTATATTCACAAATCCAAGCACCAAGTTAGCAGTCATTAAAACTGAGTGAAACACATAAAAAATGATTCTATAAGTGCAGCTATCAGTGTACATTTGAAAACTGACATGTTTGCTTAATTGTACATGGGATGACTATTTTTATACAGGCACATCTGTATTTAAATAATCATCTCTCTCAAGCAGTGTTATCCTTGAGGCTACTGGAGGATTTTCTTTCACCAGAAGAGCTCGAAAGAAAAAAAGAATCCCTGATGATAGTGAATAGAGAGATCTAGATTTTCTCCTTGCTGTTAACTTAAGAATATCTCATTTTCTCTCCATATTTTCATTTAACCTTACAAAAGTGCTAAACCCATTTCTTTATTCCATAAATAAGAGGTCAAATAAGCTACAATATTTTTTCTTCTATACAAAATGCTGAGTGAGATTTGCCTTCTAACCCTCAATCACCCAGCGTGTGTGAAGATACACACACAGGCACGTTCTCAGTGTTTTATGCCTAACTAAGCAGGAAGCCATTTAGCTTTGCTAGTAGTAAGCACCAGGGTGCAGCATAGTAAAATGAGAAAAAGAAGAATTATGACAAGGTTGCAATAGCAAGACATGACGATGGGAGAAGAGAGGTCTGTAAGTGAAACCCTAAGATCTTTAAACACTAGCTTCAGAGAAGGCACAGGCACGAATGCTTCGTGTTATATTCTTTGAGAACTTTTGTATAGCCCTTTCTAGAGGACGAAGTAAAAGGAAAGATCATTAAATTCTGGAACCACAGGTTTTGAGCTGCCTGCCAATCAACACTCCTTTCCACGTCCACAAGAAATAGTAAAGGAACCTTAGGAAACATGCACAGTCACCTCTCTAAATGAGGGATGGCAAATTTCTGACAAAATTCATACCATCATTCTTATGCCATGCAAAGTTATCAATTTTAAAATTATTCTGCTACAGATTTGTTGAATTCCTGAGACCCACCTGTGGCTGCCTGGGCAGGGCCAGAAGTGATTATTTGGAGCTCTAACACAGCTCGCTGGCCAGATATTCCCCTCCCTCACAATGGTCTGCACTGTTTAGAAGTTTCCAAATCCTTTTTAATGATGTCACACCAGCAGAGTCAATTAGAGTCAAGAATGAACCCATCCAGAAGCGCTTTAGCATACACAGCCATTGCTCAGTCCTCCTCTTCCCATACACCCATCCACTCACATCCCCTCTGTCCACCCAGGCTAATGTTAAAGGTTGACTCATCTGTCACCCAGAACCTAACACATCTGGCTTGTGAGGGTTGCTCAAAAGAATCACAGAGGAATCACAAGCCCCACAGCTACTAGGGGAGAAAGAAGGGAAAAAGAAGGGATAGGAGACAAAGTAGAGATAGGAGAGAGAAAGAAAGAAGAAAGGGAGAGAGGAGAGAAAGGAGAGAGAAAGAAAGGGTAGGAGAGGAAATGGGAGAGGGGGAGAAGGAAAAGAAGGGAAGGAAGGAGGACAGGGAGAGACACAGAGGAAAGACTATGCCTTCAGATTTAGGATAAGAGAAGAGTCACACACCCTGGAAAGAAACAGCTCTGTCTGATTAGAGCATGCAGTGGAGAGAGGAGAGAACAGAGATTCAGCTGGGTCGCACTGACCTGGTTCAGATTTTGAAATCACTAGCCACAGTGTTCCGATGCACTGACTCAACAACTCACTTAACAAGCGAGCCTCTCATTCTCCTACACAATTGGACAAGTCACTTTGAAAATGGATTCTTAAAGTCAAATGTTCTTTATTAAAAGTTACATTTTAAGAAGTAACTTAGGGCCTGGTGTGATGCCTCAATGAATAAATCCTCACCTTGCAAGTGCCAGAATCCCATACAGGTGCCATTTCATGTCCCAGAGACTGCACTTTCTATTTAGCTCCCTGCTTATGACTTGGGAAAGCAGTAGAGGATGACTCAAAATTTTGCATCCCTGCACCCATGTTAGAGACCCAGAAGAAGCTCCTAGTTCCTGCCTCCTGGATTCTGGCTTAAGTTCAGAACAACTCTGGTCATTGCGGCCACTTGGGGAGTGAACCAGCAGATGGAAGATCTTTACCCCAATTTCTCTAGAAGTCTGATCTACCTTTACAATAAAAATGAATATAGAAAAAAAGCAACTTAATAACATATTTACTTCAAATATTCAATGCCAACATTAACATTTTATGTATTACTGACATTCTGTGTGTATAAATGAGAACATTATATTGCACAAGTATGCAAAAGTCTGTATATGGTGCTGACATTATTCATGTGCATATCTGCATTAATACATACATGTATGTGTTTGTACACATATATTAGTGTCTATATATGGCATGTATTACCTGTGCAAGAAACTTTCTGGAGAATCAAAATGGTGAAACAGGCTAAGGATGTGTTTAAACAGACAAACATTAGCCAGGGCAGAGCAGTGAGGGCACATTCCAGGAAGTAGGAGAGGACAGGCCAACAGCAGAGGGGCACCTGGAGACTGACAGACATGGGAAAGCAGCAGAGACAACAGTGTGGCATTGCTCTGTTCCCAGTGGCAGTCAGCAAGCAGTGATATGAGCTCTGCCAGCAGCCAGATGGGAAGGAGTTTCCCGGGACCTCAACAGGAGAACCCAGGCAAAGAACTGCATGTCCTGCTGATTTGTTTGATTCGACCAGGAGCAGAGAGAACAACAGATCCCAAACAGGCTGTGTGGAACAGGGTGATTTTCACAGCTTAGATCCCACCAGGGTTGCATCAGGTGCCATTTTGTGTAGGGAGGCACAGGTTTTTGGGGTGAGAATGTGCATGCACTAAGCTGGGAGCAAACTCATTTCCAGCTCAGTACATTGTAGAGTGTGGCAAAGGCTGAGATTGAAGAGAAAACACTGAGCTGTGCATGCGTTGAGCTGTGAGCAACCTCACTTCCAGCTCAGTACATTGCACTGGTCCCACAGGGAAAATAATACAAACTTTGGCATGCAACAGGTCAAAACAGGTCCAGGTGGCTCTTAGTCCTAATGGCCTGCAGGTTCCAACAAGATCAGCACCACCAACAACCTAGTTATACAGGAAACCTGGTGTCTCCCTAATCCTAGGAACTGTTCCAAACAGAAGTGGGAGAAAGGTTGCATAGACAACAGTACAGCCTCAGCACAGTGTCACAGGAGGTGGAGAATGGTGAGCCAGGAGCTGGGGCTGCGGAGACCATGATGGAACACAAGAGTCCAGACCTGAAACTCACCGGAGCGAACGGCACAAGTGACTGCAAACAAAGAGCTGTGTACCAACTGCAATCAGCAAAATCAAACTGTAGACCTGTGGATGACAGAGCTTAGAAACCTTCCTGAAAAGAAGAATCTGCTAAATAGAAGTACAATGACCAAGATCAAAAGAAGAGACAGAGGCACAATCAATATTACTGAAGACTGACATACAAAGGAGCAAAAGTCTTTGCTAATCCCAGAGTTAGCTGAAGAATACATCAAGAAAATGGGTGATACAGAATTCAGAAACCTCATTATAAAGCTTCTTACCAAAAAGGAGAAGCACATTAAGTTCAAGGAATTTAAAGAATATGTTACACAGGAAATAGCAACACTGAAACAAAACATTTCAGGAATTTTGTCGAAATTTAATTAACAGTCATTTATTTTGGTGCAAAAAATTCTGAAATCAATGCATTGTTTTTCATCATAGATATTTTCTAAAATCTTTTTCTTTTTTAAGATACATTTTTTTACTGGGAAGGCAAATGTATATAGAGAGAAGAGACAAAGAAAAATCTTTCATCCACTAGTTTACTCCCTAAATTGCCAAAATAGCTAGAACTTAGCTGAACCAAAGCCAGGAGCCAGGAGCTTCCTCCATGTCTCCCACATGAGTGCAATGTCCTAAAGACTCAGGTCACCCTCCACTGCTTTTCCAGGCCACAAACAGGAAGCAGAATCAGAAGTGGAGCAGATAGGACACAAACTGGCTCTTGAAGGTGGAAGATTAGCCTGTTCAGTCATGGCTCTGGCCCCCTCTAAAAACCTTTTCACACGTGAATGGATTTTAAACTTTTTGCACAAAAATAAAGTTATTTTGTAAGTCGATCTACTTAACTTTTAAAGAGCTTTCATATATACATAGC